ATCTGTGTATCAATCTTGTATCCTGCTACTTTTATAAACTCATTTATCGGTTTTTATGGTTTCTAGTGAATTCCTTATGGTTTTCAAAATACAAGATTATGTCATCTGTGAATAAAGATAATTGTACTTCTTCCTTTCCGATCTACATGTCTTTTATTTATTTCTGTTGCCAATTGTCCTGTCTAGTACAAAGATGAATAGATGTGGTGAGAGTAGATATATTTGTCTAGTTACTGATTTTAGAAAATAACTATATAGGGTGGGCTGTATGCAGCTGTGGTGGCAGTGGTGGCCAAGGGGAATGGGGTGAGTGCCAAGCCAGGTCAGCCCTAGGTGAGGGCATTGCTCTTCCACAAAAAGTTCTTTTCCCATCTGAGAAGATTTGTCTTACGTGGCAACAAACTCACAGAGTTGGAGCTGGGCTCCAAAATTTGGGCAATACCTGTTTTGCCAATGCAGCATTACAGTGTTTAGCTTACATGCTTCCTCTGGGCAGTTACAGGCTATCATGTAGACACTCTAAGACACGTCATGGAGAAGGATTTTGTATGGTGTGTACAGTACAAGCACATGTTACCCAGGCACTCGGCAATCCTGGGGATGTTATTAAACCAATGTTTGTCATCAACAAGATGCGGCAGATAGCTAGGCACTTTCGTATGGGACCCAAGAGGATGCCCATGAATTTCTTCAATACACACTTAATGCTACGCAAAAAGCATGCTTAAATAGCAATAAATTAAACAGACACACCCAGGCCATTACGCTTGTTTGTCAGATATTTGGAGAATACCTAAGCTCTAGAGTCAAATGTTTAAATTGCAAGGGCATTTCAGATACTTTTGATCTGTATCTTGATATAACATTGGAGATAAAGATCAAATGAGCTCAGTATTTCCATTTAAAAATATCATTTAAGGGAATTTTAAGCTGTCTGAGAAGATGGATACACTGTGCTTGTTTTCTACATTAATGAGCCATAAAAAGAATGGAATAGGCCATAAATACAGTATTTTGTAGCAGTCTTTACTAAAAATGCTACTACTTGTGTTTATCATTTATATCCTTGTATGTAACCACAAAATTGATTACACTTTAAACCATACATAACTTGCTGTGTTCTTCATTTTGTGCTATACTACAAACATTTTTATAACTCAGTTCACATATTCCATATTTTGTGTTATTGATTATGAATATTTCTATAGGGGATTTTATTGCTTTTAAAATAACAAATGTTAGGTATTAAAAAATAGAAAAACCTAT